AAGCACACGCGCCCTATAGCGAAAACCTCTCCAAAAAAAAAAAAAGGGGGGGAGAGAGAGAACTAACATCAACCCAAAAGTTGTCACAGGAGACCATTCATCAGAATGAGTCGCTGGCCCTTCCCCCAGCTCACAGAAGCCGTCTGCTCCTGGGCGCCTGAGCAGACCGGTCAGACACTGAGAGGAGGGCAAGGGTCCCCGTCCTTGGGGTACAGGGTCAGAAGCTTCCCCTAAATGCGGGTGACACCCTGGCGTGTCAGATGGCCTCGGAGAGCAGTGGGGGGGGGGAAGGAACCAGGCTGGAAAGCGGGGGAGTCTGCACTGACCCTGAAGGCAGTGAGGAACTGGGGGAGGGTTTGTCATGGAGAGAGATCTCTGGCTGTCAGCACAGAGCGAGAGCTGGAGGCAGAGAGCCCAGTGCAGGCAGGGGGAAGGGGCAGAGGTGAGAAGCTCGCTGTCTCCTCCAAGACAGCCGGTTAGAACTGGGGACTGGTACAGGGTGAGAAAGCAGGGAAGGGCGCTAAGGGCGAGGGCATGACCGGACTGGCGCCCGCAGCACCGTCACTGCACCAGGTGACAGTGTCAGTGGACGAGCTGAGTGCTGAGGGAAGTTGTGCCCACAGACATGGGCATGGGGCTGTGGGCAAGCTAACGGGAGAGGAGTGTTTACAGTCTGGACAGCGGGGCAGGAGGTGGCCTTGTGAGGGAGGGGGCTGTGTCCCGGGACAGCGGCGCCCAGTGGGACATGGCCTGATCTCTGTTTCACCTGAACCTCAAGGGCATGCAGTGAGATGAAATGTAGCCTCCTCTCGTGGGCTCTCGTGGCCTGCGTGGCCCTCTCCTAGCTCATCAGCGAAGTACTTACTTTCTTAGTGTCATTAGCAGCCGGGGAGCCATCATCCCAAATAAAAGGTAGGAACTTTGGGACTGGCAGTTGGTGTAATGGCTGTGTCGCTGGACTCCCACATAGTTGACCACGGTTCAAGTCCCAGACCCGGTGGCTTAACACTCACACCAGGCACGTGTGCACGTGCCCAAGATCCCAAGGAGAATGGAGGAGAAGGGATTGCGGTGTGGCCATCCCCCGGGGGTGATTTCTCTCTGTCTCTCCAGTGAGTGCACGTGCTCTATAACAAGTCTCTTAACTCTGACAATAACCCGTGCCTGCCCACGTCTGCCCGTCACACCTCGGTGCCCTCCTGTGTTCTCAGTACCACAGTCGATTTCGCCCAGCCTTCGCTCCGCACCGCGGAGCCGAGGGAGCCAGTGGGAGCATATCCCTGCCCCTGAGTGGCCTGCCAGATCCCTAAAGCCCCTGTAGACACCTCGTTCATCCTGTAGCCTGCACCCCAACAGTTACCCCTCTCCCAGTAGCCACATTGGTCACACGAGTATCGTGAGAGAAGAAGGCTGCCAT